TGCCCCCCCCAAATAGCAGAGACTTGCTTTAAAGTGCTGCTCAGCTGCCTCCCCAAGGATGCTACACAGAGCGCTGGTCCGTGGGCAGCAGTGTCAGCAGGCTTGGACCCCAAGGAGATCTGGGATTTACCAGGCTGCAGGTGCGGGAGCCCATCTCCGGCTCTGTTCAGTGTGTCTTCTCCTCCCTCTGCCTTTTTGCTTTTGGGTGGCTCAGCAGGTCTCCACTTGGATGGTGCTACAGCACCTTTGTGGCTCAGGCCCCCTGAGCCGGGGCTGGTCAGCAGCAGCCGGCAAGTGGCTCTCAGGGCAGGTGGCCACAGGGAGTGAGCTGAGCCTGGGGTGTAGGTCGCCATGCAACACCCTTCTTCTGCTCTGCCCGCAGCAGACCTGGACCTGTGAGTTGATACTGAAGCTTCCTAGGCTTATATTTCTACCCAATTAATATTTGAATATTTAAATATTTAAATAAATACAGGAATTTAGGCTATGGGAGAGAAGGCTGAGATGCCTTCTATGGACTGAAACACTCGTCCAGGGCAGCAGCTGAAGCCTGTCCTGACTTAGATGCAAAAAGAGCAAGACATCCCCCACCATCACTAAGAGGATAAATCGCATGTTGGCCACATGAAAAACCGCAGTCTGAGAAGGTGACTTCACTCAAGTGCCTGAGACCACTCGCCACCTGAGTGTTGGGGCCCAGGCGTGAAAAGACATGAAACCTCCCTTGTGCTGGGGACAGGAGGGGACAGAGGAACAAGAATACCTGTACAATGTTAAGTGCTTCAATACAGCAGCAGTGGTTTGTACGACTATACATGCACCACAGGGAAAAAAAAAAAAGAAAATTAGAATTTATGCAGCTTAGATTTTTAATCACTACAGGCTAATACAGTTAAGTTTTTATTAATTAATATTGGTTTGCTATCCTAGCTCATGCAAATTGGAATTAATGTCTGCATGTATTTTTTTCTTTAAGAAAGTAAATTGTTCATGTTTGCTGTACAGCTGTGAATACACTTTGTAAAATGTTTCCAGTTACTTTAGTGACTAGGGTCAATATTTAGAGAATCCTGTTTTGGCCAAGAGCAGAAGAATGGAGCTATAATCAGGTCTAGAGAAAATGTCAGAACAATGTTCCTCTCATGGCTATACCTGAAATGGATTTATAATAGCAAAACATAAGAAATTAGGTGAAGCAATGAGTATTCACGAATTTTCAGATGTATAATAATAATCTGTCAACAGCTGTGGTATAGAACCTAAAGTGCACCCTGAGATAAGTTTGTGTGAGATGAACAGCAGCTCCTGTGTGGTACAGTAGCTGTTCAGGCTAAGAGCCACTTTGCGCCACATGGAGATGGGCAGAGGTATTTCAGCCACTCTAGAGAGGTTTTAAGAACATGAAGGGCTGGGGGTATGCTTCCCTATCCCTCCTGTCCACAGCAGGCTGTAACTTAATTTCTTCTAATCTCTATCAAGAAAGAGAAGCAGCTTTGGTGCTTACCCCACAGAGATGAGAGGTGGCACAGAGCAGCCACTCTTCAGCTGCTACCTGACCTGGGGGGACATGGGGGCTGTGGGTGGATGCAGTGGTGATGCCAAGTCGTTGAGGTGCTTCTGGGCTCACTTCTGCAAAGACTTTAACCACTGGGAGCAAGTTGCTCTGTCCATCGTTTCCCTTGCAGCCACCAAGTTTAGCAGTCTCCTCTTTCCCAGCCCTCCCCTGCCCTCCCAGAGCTCCCCTGCAGAGCCCATGAGCTCCTGAGTCCCACGAGGGTGGTCCTCCTGGGCGCCCCATTTCACAGGGAGGGGCTGGATGCAGGGGGCTAGCTGGAGGGGGTGCACAGCTGCCTCAGGGAAGGAACCTCCTCACTGGAAAGAAGTGCTACAGAAAGATGAAGCAAAGCGTGATGATACTAACAGAATTGGGCAGAGCCTTGAAGTATTTGGTCCATTTTACTTCTCATCTCCAAAGCTGATTTCCAGGGTAAATTAGAGAATTTGTGAGCAATCCTACCTTACTATAGGCATTTCTCTGGCTTGGTATTGAATCCCAGGTGGTGTGATGCTGAAGGATCAAATACATTGCAAATTACATCTCCTTTACCTATTTTCATATGCTTTCTGTCCTTCCTTAAAATCCACCTCCTGACCTTTCGTGCGTTTCCTTTGCAGGGTCCCTCGGGACAGCTGGTCGGGTTTGTAACCAAACCTCCCGCGGCATGGACAGCTGTGAAGTGATGTGCTGCGGGAGAGGCTATGACACCTCCCGTGTCAGCAGGATGACAAAATGTGAGTGCAAATTCCACTGGTGTTGTGCTGTGCGTTGCCAGGACTGCCTAGAAGTGGTAGATATTCACACCTGCAAAGCTCCCAAGAGCGCTGGCTGGATCTCCCGGACATGATGCACAGGCTACTGATGCTTGAGGACCACAGCCTTTGCCCTTCCTGGTCTGTGCAGGGAACGTGTCCCAGGTCTTTCATTGCACAGAAGCTGCTGAATAATTAATACAAACTCTGCAGCATTTACTTTAAATTTCTGAATGACAGTGTTGCTGCAGAGCTGTCTATGCATAAACTAATGCAGCTCTGGAAGGACACACTTCTGCTGGGACTTTTCCAACCAACACACAGCTCTCCTCCAGACTCCTTGTGGCAATTCATTCCTTACATGGGGAACACAGCAGGATGCAAAGATGAGGCGTTTCATAGAACACCACCACCACCACCAGCTGCGTGGGCTGAGCTTGCTCAAGCATCTTCCAAAGGATCTTGTGCTGGTCACAGTCGTGCCCTAGGTGCTGAAGTGCTCAGGAGTTTGAGCACCAGTTGGTGATTCCTCTATGAAAGAAAATTTGGGGCTAGGCTGGGTGAAAGGCTTTACTTGAAGGGGTGTTTGTCCATCCCCAGAAGACTGGAGTTTGCAGTGAGGTGGCCACCTGAGGCCACCCTGGCTGCTGTTAGCACACCGTGGTTTCTCGTGGGGCAGAAATTGGACCATGGCAAAAAGCAAAGGAAACTGCAGGAGATGTATTCAACCACAACATTTTCATAAACTATTAAAGAGCCAAAGCAAATGTGTTAGTATATATTTGTGAAAACTTGCCTTAAAAGCTTTTAAAAGGTCATTAATATTAACTGCTGAGTTTTTTTGTGATCTGAAGGATTGAAGAGATTTGTTTCTCAGCCTAGGGACAGCTGGGTACAGGACTTTCAGCTACCTAAGGATAAGGTTTCCTATTTTTCACTTACTGAATAAGTAGAGAAACATTTGCAGAAAGCTGGAAATACCTGTCTCCGTAGTGACTGGGTTTCTAAAGAATCTATCAATTTCTATATCCTTTAAAATTTAATAAAGCTATTAAATGTGTTCAGAATGATACTTTCTGTTCAGATGGGCATTTCCAAATGAGGTTTTTCATTTAACACTTTCTGCAAAAAACTTCCGCCTATGATTAAGGGTGCACTGGCCTTTGATGGAGGCAGTTACAGGTTGTGCCAGGTCCATATGCTGGGATGGGATCAACACAGAACAACAAAGTGCTGCAAAGATGTGCAGGCTCACGAGGCCCAGAAATGGCAGCCTCACTGGAGAGGAGCTGGGTCAGAGAGGGAGCAGCCCACTCTCTTCCAAGCAGAGACCAGCAAATGAGGCAAGATGAAAGATGGGTCCTGTGCCAGTAAGGTTAATAAGGCTCTGGAAAAGCACCCATGAAGTGCAGAGACAGGCAAGGTAATGAAAAAATAGTGCAGGAAAAGCAGGTTGAATGGGTGATAGAACATATTGTAGATGCAGGTAAAATTTTCATGTGAAAATTGAAAAAGACTGGAGGAACCTTAGCAGGTACAGTGCATGAAAAAGTAATATACAAGTAGCATACTCTGCAATAAAGTGAGTACTCTGGTTATGGGTTTGGGTTTTTTTTCAGAATATTTAAAAAGAATGAGGTTTTTCATTCAGTGGTCTTGAGAGAGCAGTCATTTACATCCAAAAGGCTTTGGGAAAAGTTTGTATCATTAAAATGGGCAAGTCATCCCCAGGAGGCACAGCTGGCATTAAAAGATTAGGAGGATCCAGAAAGGTATTTATTTGGACAATAAGATAATGTTTCAGTTACTGTACGTGGCATTAATGTACCGATCACGGCTAGAAGTAAGGATAATCACACTTCTGGGTATAAACCAGCTGCCTGGGGGACAGGAGTGGCTCTGTCAGCGTGTTAGCGTACAGTGTGTGCATTACACACACACACACACATGCAGTGTGTATATATGCACACATGTTCCGTTCAGTGGCTATACTGTTGGCCTCATCAGTGCTGGCAATTCTGGCTCTGGGCTGGATAAGGAAAATTTCACACCTATTTGTATTTAAAGGTGAGCCCCAAGGAGAATTTTATTAGGGTTTCATTGTGAAATTAAAACTGCATGTAGTTCACAGCCTGAGCAATGTTATGTCTTAAGCTTAAAGAACTTCAGAGCAGTTTAATATTTTTAAATTTTTTGTATGAGGTGTTTTGAAAGATTCAGGGACCCTTTGGGTAGTCTAGAAATTCACCATGTAATAATGCAGAAAATATTTCAATGTTCTGGAAAAAAAGGAAGCCTCATTCTTACGAGGAAACTTGTTCTAGGAAGTTGAATAAAAGGTAACGAAATCAGATCGCTTCTTAACTCCATCATTTGTTTAATACATCAGAAAACAAACCCACCTGAATTCTGCAGTCCTAGGTAAAGTGTTTTGGGGTCATTGTATTAAAGGTGGGACTTTTATTCCCCAACCTGGTCTTCCTCCTCCTCCTCCACCAAGGTACAGCTTCTTGCTCCAGACTTCCCTGCTTGCAGGGGCCTGTGGTTCCTGAAGGCTGGTCTTACCAGTAAGACCAGGAAGCTGGTGGCACTGAGTACCTTGGCTTTTTTGGTGTCCTTTGTCACCAGAATCCCCACCTTGTTTAGCAGTGGGCCCACCAAAGGTGCACAGCAGGCTGAATTCCATATTCCACACAAATCCCACATTAACAAGCTGCAATGCAATCCCCCCACCAAACCCACCTCACCAGAGAAAAACCAGAATATTTTGCAGCACAACAAATGTGTAACAGCTGAGCTGCCAAATTATTTGATTAATTTTTTTACTGTATTTATGAATTCTTTTAAAGAAAAGAGCTCAAGGTAGGCTTCTTACAGCTGTAAGCATTTCTGCTGCCTCTTCCGTGAAGAAAGGACTCTGAGGAGTTTTTGCTATTTCTTAGTGGAACAAGACACTCAGAGATGTAAATATTGCTAGGAAAGGCACCTCCTCAATCTTCAGCTAATCAAATAAAGAACAAAAAAAGAGTGAAAAAAGGGAAGAAATAGAAATCAGGCAAGGCAAACAAAATAATCCTGTATTTTGTTCTATGGAATAAATTTATTCATGTGTTTAGCCATGAAAATGAAACAGCTGTCCCTAGGTAGACACTTCAGTGTCAGAATAATGTTAGCTGAGGCAAAAGGTTGTAAGATTATTATTTTTTTAAAATATGCAGTTCGATTTTCTTGAGGGAGTTCCTGTTACTTTTGCTGTGTGAAATCAGAATCTAGCAGTGCTCTGAAATGCTGTTAGCCTGCCAAGCTTCTTGGGATTGCTCCCTCCCCGCTATTTTCTTTTTAAACAAACTTAACCATAAAAACTTTGTTGAGCTGTTTTAGGAGCAATCTCATGAAAAAAGTATAATTTTATGTCATGGGAAATGGTGAATGACTTTTAGGATTGGCGATGTTAGAGCGTGTGGGTATTGTAGCTTGAGAGCTTATTGTGTTGCTTTTTTTTTTTTCCTGCAAACCTATCTAAACCCCATTTGTTCATCTCACCCTCTCCTCCCATCCTTGTGTAACCTTCTTTGCAGATGTGCATTAGACATCAAATAGCGCATTTCTGGTGCTGTGCTGCACAGCTGCTGAAGGGCATTCAGCCTGGATGCCCAGCTCACACCGTGTCCAGCAAGTGGCTGGTGGTCCCTGCCTGCGGGCTTCGTGCCCAGCCTCTCGTGTGTGGTGGCAAAGGGAAAATGGACGTTTTACGGGGCACTAGTGAAGGCTGTGCCTCTCTGCTCCTGTGGCAGCGGGAACCAGGCAGGAGCCTGCAGGAAGGTGGGTGGCATGTGGGGCCGTGGCTCACCTTGCACACTGTGCCCTGACTCAAGCTGCTGAGGTTTTCAAGCCCTTGGTGTGGTGACAGCCACCCTGGGTGTGACAAGGGTTTGGAGGTTTACCTTCTGTTTCTGCAGGCATCTGCAACACAGGAAAACTGGTATTTTTTTTCTTCCTTTCTACTGGGGTAAGGACTTCTATGCTATCTTGCTGGAAAATCAGTCTCTTTATCTGTCTTTCACACTGAATCACAGCAAACAACCAGAGCAAACAGCAGCTTTCCCCTCTGCGCAGCACTCACCCCTCAGAGTATGGCTCTCATCTTGGAGCAGCTGTAAATCTACCTGGTGGGAGGGCCAGAAGGTGGGTGGCCAGCTTGACTTACCTGAGACTCCTGGGGGTCTCTCCTTTTTTGCTCTGTGCACGTTACAGTGTAAAGAGATAGTGTGCAGCCAAATTGTACTAGGTTGTCTTGAAAGAAAAAACTAGGAACTGTGAACATTTGGAGTTTAAAAGCCTCCCCCTCCATAATTCTGCAAAGTGACGACTCGGATGAGTTATTATCTGAACCAGATTTCCAGAAGGCTCATCTCCACGCTAAGCCAGAGGCTTTCCATCGTTATAATCATGCGCTGTATTCGGCTTTTGATCTAAGCCATGCTGAACTTCACAGGAAACATGTCAGAGGCAGGAAAGCCCAAGGCAACAAACCCTGCCCGATGAAAATCCTTTTGTCTGACGTGCCTAGTCTCCCAGGTGCCTAGAATTATAATTAAAAATAAAGAGATATTTTCTAGATAAAATCCATGGCTCATTACTACTTAGAAGGGAGAGGGATACTGCAAATAGTAGAAATGGAGTTGTATAAAGATATTTTTGAATTCCTAAAAGTTCCCCTTAGTTCAAGGGAAGGTTCTGTCTGATTCTTCCAGGAGTTAAGTATTCCTTTTTATCTGTTTATTACAGATAATAATTCCCACATAGCTCATAATTCACATTATCTCTTCTTCTATCAGAAGGCCAAACTAGTGCCTCAGTTGCTGACAAACCTGGACATTGGCATATAGCTAGAAATACACTGATATGCAAACACATTTACATATCAGGACTGATAATCACACCCATTTGTTCTTTATAAGTGTAGGGTACATATAAGTGAACTTTGAAAGGTTTCTGAAAGGCCAGGAATAAGTGACATGAAACAGCACAGCTCAGCAAGAGCTGACTATGCCTGAACTTTCTGATTTTTCACCAGCCTTAAATAATTCTGACA